GTGAAACAAATGAATGGCTACGTCTCAAAAGAGATATGTATAACAAATAACATTTAGAAATTGGAGTTTCACAGCAGTTTCGTCGTCGGATAACACGACGAAAGTTCTGTTTTCAGTGACTAAAGTTCTTTTGGCATGTGACGGAAGTTTAGCTATATTTACATAGTGGTTATGAAAGCTAACCCCTTCTGTGACGAAAGTTCGTTTTCGATTGTGACATATAAGTTCTTTTGTCAATGTAACGAAAATTAACGTAACGAAAGTGCTATCATCCAAATTAAATATAGAAAAAGCAACATTTGTTTATATTATACGAAAAGCATATTATATCGTATCCAACTAGTCACCATCCGTCACTAATTTTTAATTAGAAAAAGGCTTGTTTTGAATACACTACTATTCTTTCATAAATTCGAAATGAAAAGATTTTTAATGTGTCTGCTCGGCAGATTAACTGAAGAAACAAAAAAAATAAGAATTGTAACTGTAACTATATATAATTCTTTTCTTTTCTTTCTTTTCATTTTTTGCCAAGAACACAGTACGCTGTTCTTTTGTATTTGTGAGTAAATTTATGTATTTCCTAGGTACCATAACAGAGTATTCTCTTTCTTTTTTCATGTTTTCTTGTGCAAAAAACATGTACGGACAAGAAACAGTTATTTTCCTTGCAATCAACATCGGTACTGTTTTATTTCTCGTTCTTCCTCTACTTCTTCTATTCAAATTTGTCGTGCTCGTTGGTCTCATTATTTTACCACCTATTATCATATGGATTTTATATAATTATTTAAGAGTACCCTGTGTACAAGGTCATTTAAAATTTGACAATATTATCATAGCACATCGTGGTGGACGACCTTTGCTACCGGAAAATATTACTGATGATTCCGATTTTCCTGAAAATACAATATCTGCTTACAAATGGGCATCGAAATGTAAAGGTGCAGAAGCAATCGAGTTGGATACTTGGCTATCAAAAGATCATATACCCATGGTTGTACACGATTCTTATTTGGCCAGTACACTAATGAATTGTCAAGGTAATATTTAATCGAAAACTACTGAACTAATTATTTCATATCTGCTTCTAACTCTTATCAAGGTTATATATCTCAATTTACGTGTGCTGAATTACAACAGATGCGTTTCATTCGTCAATCGGAAAACAGAACTTTCGTCGTGTTATCCGACGACGAAACTGCTGTGAAACTCCAATTTCTAAATGTTATTTGTTATACATATCTCTTTTGAGACGTAGCCATTCATTTGTTTCACGCAGTGCCATGATTAAGGCAGAGGTATATGTCCCTCCTACTTTTCAAGAAAATCTTTTCTCTTTAAGAGGGGTTCCCCCATTTAGATTTTCGCCCAACGTTCCCAGTTTGTAGAGGATACTTTGAGGTATAAGTTCTGAAGTTTTCTCGGCTTACTGACATTATTTGGCTGAGAAAACAATTAATTACTTTAAAAAATATTGTTAAGTTTCTGAACAAGGGACTATTATGAAAAGAATTCCTCTCTATTCTCCATTCATCACAAAAACTTTGTTCTTGTCCAGATCGATAGAGAAATATGTGGAGAATATTTACTTTAATATGAGAATATTTATTCCTTCCTGTTATTGACTAATTAGCACTAATTAAGATTAATTTAGCCTACTCTACTAGCTTACAGTCCCATTTGCAAAATAAGGACTCAGCAAAAGAATTTTAGCTATACCTCACCTGACAGAGAATTTCACGAGCTACAAGACTGGCTAGCTTAAGACTTTTAGAATTCAATGCATTCATTAGAATTTTTTTATAACAGTTCCGTGCTCAAAAATTTAATAATACTTTTTTAAATAATTAATTTTTTTCTCAGCCAAACAATGTCCGCAAGCCGAAAAAACTTCATAACATATACTTCGAAGTGTCCTCTACAAACAGGGAAACTTTAACAAAATAATTCAAAACTAAAAGATTTCTCTAATTTTTAGCTAAGCGAAAATATTTTCCCAACACCCTGAACCAAATTTCGCTCAAAGGAAGCATTTTCAAGGGAAAATGTGGGCATGAAAGTTGTTCCGAATCAGATTCCCTAGAATACAAACGAAGGATTTTTCAAAATTCGTTAAACTGGACTTTTAAATTAAATTTTATTAAATTTTAAAATTTTAAAAACCATATTTTTCAATTTAAAAATCGAGTTTAATAAATTTTAAAAATTCTTCGTTTATATTCCACGGAAACTGAGTCTGAACAACTTTCGTACTTTTCCTTGAAAATGCTTCCTTCGTGCGAAATTTGGTTCAAGATGTTTTTAAAAATATTTCTTGCTCCAGAATGCCATCGGGCAGGTCAAAGCGGAATAACTCAGTCAAAGCTTGACCGATTTTTTTGTAGCTACATCTTGATGTCCTCTATCTATTGCCATCAAAACCGAGGTTATATATAGAAATTTGAAAATTTTATTAAACTTTTAAAAATGGAGGAAAAAACCGACGCAAAACTTAAAAAGTTATTTTCTGAAAAACTACAGATCCGGTACCCGAAAAAAGTATTGAAATATATACTTCAAAGTGTCTTCTACAAACTGATAGGAAAAACCGAGTGGGGAGACTCCCCCTTAACAATCTCTTTTCTTTCAAAAGTTTCGTCAGAAGTCTTGCTCAGATTTGGTAGCGAATTGAATCAATATTTAATGAAAAAGTGCTTTCTTCACTTTTTCTCCGAAATTATTTGGGGGTAATATCTTTCTCAAACGTTTTCATCAAAGAGAAAACAAGCTCAAATTGATAACGAAGATAACAACCAATAGATATATGTGTATAAAAGAAAATTGTGTTTTCTTACTTCTGTGGCTATCTCCCAAAAAAATGTACTTACACCCTTCATGCTTTTTTCTCGCCCCAGCATGATACTGATTTCACGATACACGGTAGAAACAAGTCTGAATCACTTATAATTCGGAACGTAAGAGGAGACCAGTGAGCAGAAGGAAGAAAGGAATCAGAAACAATTCTTTCTAAAATCATAGAGGACGGGATTGTACAAGTCCGAAATTTTTATTACTTTATGTTCTATTTGTATGTTCGATCTTGTCATTATGTAGAGAAACACGTAGCTGACATAATGCATGGCATCTGCAAACATAACTCAAAATGATAAGCTGTGTAGTAATCAGAAAGTATAACAAAACGGAAAATTCCAAAAAGTTTGATTAAACTCTATCGTCCTGGTCATTGGTTCTTATAAACGAATCAGACACGAAACTTGTAATAGGCGTGTCTTAGAAACCAGATACCGGAACGGTTCCGGTCGACCCCCGAGTCGAGGCGGGTTCGGGTCAATGTAAATAATATTGGTTCGGGTTGAGGTAAAAAGTATTGATTCGGGTCGGGTCAAAGGAAAAAATGTTCGGGTTTCGGATCTTTCCACTAGAAGACAAATCAGAAAAGTTTCTTCAGTTTAATATTCATCTGTTTTCAAACATGTGTCTTTTTTATCGAAAAAGAAAATACAGTGTTTTTTTTTTCTTTCTTCTATGACGCTGTGTAATATAGCCTCGTACAGCCTAGTACGATTGAAGCAAAGAAAGAAAAGAAAAATATAACAAAGTATAACAAAACTAATTAATTTAAATAATAAAAAAATCAAAGTTTGTGATCCTTTACTGTTTTGAAAAGAACTTTCAAAAACATTTCCACTATTAGTCAAAGTAGTTGAACAAATTTTGGCAATTCCGGCTACATCAGCTAGTGTAGAACGCGCATTTAGTGATGCAGGTTTAACTATTACAGAATTACGAACGAATATCAATCCGGATACATTAAACGACTGTGTATTTCTTAGATCTGTAAAGAAACAAATGAATAATTGATTGATATTTGTAACTACATTTTGTTTTACTTTGCTAGTGTCCAAGAAAAAGAAAACAGAGAAACATAAATCAAACGACGAAAGATTTTCGGGTCATTCGGATCAAGTTTCGAAAATTTTGTACCATTTCGGGTCGGATCGGGTGAGGGTCATCCGCCTAAGACCCGATTCGGTCTCTGTTAGAAACACTAACTAAGAATCTTACTCATCTATTATATAAGAACTTCCATGAGAGTGACAAGAATCCGCTGAATTTTATAATCTTTTTAGATTCTCATAAGCTTTCATACAAAAATGGTAAGATTCGGCAGAACTCGTACGTTATTCTTACTGTATTCTTATAAAAGTCTTATCACATTCTTGTAAGATTCTTGCAAGTTTCTTATGAGAAACTCGATCGGCTCTTCTTGATAGTTATAATGCTACACCACTCCTAAGTGTCAAAACATTTCCCTGAGAAAAAAATCGTTCTGTAACGTTTTAGGAACATTGGAATAAACATGTACCTGTAGATCTAGAGGTTTGTAAACAGTGCCGAGAAGAAATTAATTTAATAATCTAATGAAATCAAATCGTTAATACTTGAGAAACAACATCGTATCCCAATTTTACGCAGTGAACAAAAGGTACTTGATCCCTCTGTAGCCGACGAAGACAAAGACAATGATGAAGCTGACAAAGAAGATTTTCAACCAGAACAAGAACTTTCGGCTGCTATAGAGATTTATACAACAACTGTAGTAAAAACGAATTTAGAAATTAGGATCTCAGGGGAAAAACTATCTACATTTACTCACGGTGAAAATGACAGTAAGTGACGATGCCCTAGAGAGCACACAATGCACACTCACGCGCTATAGAAAGGTAGATAATAAAGAAATCAGATTTCATCACCGACAAATTTTACAGTAATTTGCATAAAAGAAAACGCTGGAAACGTTAAAAAGTTTAGAACTCGCTCCTTGATGAACCAAATTTGATAAAAATTCGGTGCTAGGTCCAAAATTTCTTACAGCGAGTTTCTTTTAATTTCGTTTTGACTTCTTCTTTGGTGTTGATGTCATCTATGTGGTCTTTGCCGAAATTTATTTTTCTCATTGATTGAAAAAAAGGCGCCAATGAGAAACATAAAATCTCGGCAAAGACCACATAGATGACATCAACACCAAAGAAGAAGTCAAAACGAAATTAAAAGAAACGCACTGTCGGATTTACTGAGAAATTTTGTATCTGCCACCGAATCGTCAAAATTGAGATTTTAATTTTCGCTAACGAGAGAACTG